CTAGGAACTGTCACCTGCCACCTCCCAGAGAGAGACCGGGAGGTGTTGTCCTGAAGTAGGAGCCCAATTTCAAGCTGACACTGGAGGGCTTGTATTGTCAAGAGAATGCACACTGGGTCAACTAGTAAATCCAACCCTAGATACATTTACACATTATTCTCATTTTGTTGATGAGGGTGTCAAGGTTGAGGAAATCCAGACAATGAGAGAACGAGAGACTCAAACCAAGGTGTGTGTGACTTTGTACCCTCTGCTATATGGCTGTGTGGGAGTTGTCACTGCTTAAGGGGACAGCGCTTTGGCAAGGAGCGTCAGCATAAAGTCTGGAGTGGTGGTGCCATGATGTGATCAGACTCAAGCCCCCGAGCTGGGCTAGCTGTTGGAGGGCAATTCATGTTTATGGGTGAAGGGGTACTGGCAGAACCGGTGGGACTGGTAAGGGCTCAGGAATGTGAAGGAGGGGCTAGAGCCCCTCAGCAATCCTCTGGCTTCTCAGTCTACTCAACTCTAAGCACAAAATTCTGGCGTTATCAGCTCAAGAGCAGTTTTTATTTTTTATTAATATTTATATTTTCATTATTTATTTTTGGTACCACGGATTGAACCCAGGGGCCCTCCACCACTGAGCCGCATCCCCAGCCCTTTTTACCTTTCATTTTGAGACAAGGGTCTCTCTAAGTTGCTGAGGCTGGCTTTGAACTTGCCTCAGCCTCCAGAGCCGCCGCTGGGATTGCAGGCATGTGCCACTGAGCTGGGCCCAATAGCAGTTTTTTTTTGGTATTTGATTCTTATGTTGGTCCGCTTTCCATTTTTGTAACCAAAAATGAATCAACTTTGAAGGAGAGAAGGTTTCAGAGCTTTTCGTCCAGGATCGCTGGGCGCTATTGCTTGGGGCCTTGCAGGACAGTGCCTCATGATGCAGGGAGTGCAGCAGAGAAGCCGCCCAGCTCATGGTGGCTGGAAGGTGAACAGAGAGAGAAGAAAGGCTGGGCTCCTGTGTCCCCTTGGAGGGCACCCCCCAGTGGCCTAACTTCTTCCCACCAGGGCCCACCCCCTGTAAAGGTTCTCCCACCTCCCAGCAGCACCACAGGCTGGTGACCACGCCTTTACCAGGTAGGCCTTTGGGGGGCACTTCCGGTACAAACTCCAGCATTTCCCTTGAAGGGAAATTGATCTTCCGTGTTCGGCTGGGGTAGTTGGTGGTAAGACCCCCCAGGAGAACGGTGTGCCCTTTAGGGCAGAGCTGCCCTTCTTTACAGATTGATGTTCCATAGGGGAATTTCTTCACCAAGAATTCTTATTCCCCAGAGGAAAACCTCGAAACCTTAAGTTGTTATATATATATGTTTTTAAAAGTGGGGTACCATATGATGGTTTGGATGTGTGAGGCTCAATAAGATGGTAAGGAGAATAATCATATTTATAGTCCGTCACATGTTTGGGGAGAGATAGAGAAAGACAGTCTTAGGGTGGAAGGACATATCACAGGCAAACACTATGTAGGAGAAAGATGATGTGAGCCACTAAAGTAATTTTAAATTAGCCACCTGAAAATTTAAGAGAAGCAAATGAATTGATTTTAAGAATATTTTTGACTTAAACCTGTATTTCCAAAATATTATCATTTAAACTTGTAACCACTGTCAAAAGTTACAGACATTTTATGGTTGTTTTTTTTTTTCACAAAGCTTTGAAATTCAGTGTGTATCTTATTACAAATCTCAGTGCAGTCTAGCTCCATTTCAAGATCTGTAGTCATCCTGTGTGGGTTTAGTTTCTGAGAGACAAGAATAGGCATGGAAGACAATGATTTTTATGAATGATAGTGGCCTGATTCTGGAAAATAGAGAGAAATGGTGTAATCCCAAAGTAGGGCAGAGTGGAAGAAATCAAAGAGGAGTTTTGGATAGAAAAATTCAGCAAATAGTTATCATCCTTACAAATCTAGTCAGATATTGATATAGGAAGGGATTATACATCTCTATTCTGGAATATATTCAATTAAAAAACATTTTATGCATCTAACCCTCCTTTGGGAGAGGCTCCAAAAAATTCAGTTGCAAACGAGATGTGTGATTTTATGGTCTGTGAACAAAGAAGAATATTTTACCTATGTAAATTTAGAAACTGCTAGATACTACTGAACACAATGTCTCCGGTTATTGAAACTTTAAAAAAAGAACCTTTACTACGTCATCTGTCAATGTGATTACTTAGACAAAATATAATAGTTATATGTTCTCTCCACAGTATTGTGAAAATTAGCTCACGCGTCATCTGATAAGTAAATAGCAGTATATTTCTCCCTTTAAGATGCTTTTTAAAGGAAAGCCTTGTAAGAAATGGCAGCATTTCAACACTATTTATTCAAATTATCTCAAGGAAATGTAACATTATAAGAGAGACAGCAATTTATGGGGAAAATGTCTAGGAGAGAGGTTTTCTGAAAACAAACTTTTGAAAACAAAATTTTGTCAAATTTATGATATCTTGAGTCCCTTAGTATAGGAGAAAAGTAATTAAAGTAAGTACACACTGATCTTTAGAATGAGTCGAGTGGCATGATTTCCAGATCGTTTGGAAGGCCTTCATGCACCCTGGACTCCTACCTGTGCACTCCAGTGTGAAGGCAACCCGAGAAGCTTATTCATCTAGACTTTCCCAGGCTAAATGACTAGATGCTGTGGAGCTGACCCTGTAGGTTGGTACCAGTCATTTTTGCAAGGCATGATTAGGAATCAAAACACCACACCCCTTCTAGCCTACTCTGTCTTTCTATACTCACTTCTAGGTAAACTGCCATACTCAACTTCATACTCTTCTTTCAGTTCCCACTGGTCTTTCATTTTAGGCAGACAATCAGTAAAAACATTAAAGCATCCAATTTAGTAAATTCTCAGAGAATTTTCATACATGCAATGTCTCTGCATGCCTTTAGCTCTGCCTCACCCAGAACCTGTGTTTCATGGGTACACACTTCTTTTCTAATCTTAGACTCTTTAATTAATTTTATGAATATATAACATGATGGTATTGAAAAGGTGGTTAATGCTTGAGTTCTAAATGGGAGCAAAGTAAAATCTGGGACAGGTATGAGAAGGGGCCAAGGAAAGATTTTTAGATATGAAAAAATAGAATTACAGAAGTATATAGTAGTAGGACAGATGTTGGGTGATATGATTGCACAAGGGAAGAGTTTTCCTTTTAATTCCTTTCACTGAGGTTATTCTGAGAGTGATAGGGAAAGAAAATGGATATCATCAATTTCATGTATTATTACTTAGTCAAGCATAGCTATACTTATTAATAAAAGCAGATTTGAGGAAATGTAAGGATCATACCCTCCTTTCCCCCTGTTTTCTCCTAGGAGTTGAGGAGGATGGCGGTTTTTGTGTTCCTTGCTAGATATCAGGGGGTGGCATCTCCCAAGAAGCAGATTGGGTGTTAGCATGTGTGTGTATGTGACTGTGTCCCTGGAGGTAAGCAACAGAGATGAC